GAGACGTAGACCTGCTCCAATGCATTTTAAACTTGATTTTTATTGTTATATGTTACAAAACTGCAAATAATTTTCAATAACTCTGCATCATTTAATTTATTGTCAACAACATTTTGATGGATATTTCCAGAGATTAAAAGTTAAAACTGCACATAGTCTAAAGCAGTGTTCTGGTCCATGATCAATTAAAAGTTTCGTAGTTGTGTTTAACCTTCTAAGATGCTTTTTATTTATTTTTTTTATGTAAGATTAAAATTTACCCTAGCTTGTTTTGATTTTTAGGACCTTAAAGACAATTGACTATATTCACATATATAGGATGACTTGTCAGGGAGGGGACCTATGGACCTGAAGTAGATGGGGCTTGACTTAGGGTTAGGGTGACTGTACTTTACTATACTATACTATACTATACTATACTATACTATACTATACTAGACTAGACTATACAATACTAGACTAGACTATACTATACTGTGCCGTAACAAAATGTTTCCAAAGTCCAGACATGATAGCCTTTGTTAATTATATTTTGATAACAATAAATAGTTTAAATATTTTATAAAATAATAAATATATAATACATTAAAAACTATTCAGAGGGAGCCAGTGCTTGGCAGCCTCGCCTCTGTCAGTGCTTCCCAGGGCAGCTGTGGCTACATCGTAGCTCATCCCCCACAGCGTGTGAATGTGTGTGTGAATGGGTGAATGACTGATTGTGTTGTAAAGCACCTTGGGGGTTCCAGGACTCTAGAAGGCATTATATCAAATACTGGCTATTTACCATTTACCATATAATACATTAAATATATGTTTAATTACCATAAGTTCTTACTTCCTCTTACTTACTTACATACTTCCTCTTAAAAACACAATATAACCTTCTGCTGATTTAGATGTAGATTTAGTTACTGCTTTAAAATAAGAACTTTAAATATTTAAAGCTATAAATAATCAGAATCCTTCTGGTAGGAAAAAAAACTTTGTGTTTTAAAGACAAAGGCTACAGGTGAGAAAACTGTATATTTATGAAGGTATTCAGTTAAATTATGTAACTATATAAAAATGGGAAACTTTACCAAAGTGAATACAGATCATAAATAGCTATCTCATGCTCAAGGCATCTTGCAATGCTTTTATTTAGACGAGACGTTCCACACTGTTCCTGGTGTAGTTTGGGTTTTGAATATAATCAGAACACAATGAATTCCCCACACCGACACATCTCTAATAAATCAAACTTAGTCATTTGAAGTTGACAGGAGTATTCACACCTGAGAAAACAAAGGTCCAGCGAGGATCAGCTTATATTGGTGTTATCTGACATCTTCGAACCCAGCGGTGCCGTTTTAACAGCGCTTCACCGCCGATAGAAAAATGGAGAAAGTTGGGTAAAAGAGACCAAACGGTTTCCTGATCTTTCATGCAGAAGGTGCTTGTGAGAGAGATGCCAGCCCATGGCCTCAGCTGTGGAAACTGTGCTTCTGTGGAGAGATGGGTGCCTTCTGGGCCAAACGACAAACTCAACGCTAACATGCCTTACATCAAAGCTTTGAGGCATGCAGTTTGAATTGCCCCGTGCTACAAATCCAGTAACCTGCATGGGTTTTACAGGCCAGCAGACACAAAACTGTTTTATTTTATCATTGTGAGTTCAGGAGATTTGGTGCTACCAAATCAAACCTGACTGGGTGAGAGTTCGACTCAAACAGCAACATTTTAAATCCTATTTGGAAAATTTGATGTTTGGAAACTGACACTTTGAAGTGTGCTTCTGTGTAAAAGTTATAAAGAAAGACGTAACTGTAGATAGCTGTTTGGAGAAACAGAGTTTAGATAGTTTAGGACCGATGAGCTAACCGGTAGTTCATGTGACGCCAAGACCAAAGTATTTTACTGTAAAAATGTCACAATGACCAAATTGATGTTATTTTTCAAACCTTTACTCTAAAGGCAGTCTAATATTTTATGGTTATTAACACGGGATTCTTTTGTAATTTACAAATTTGGGTTCAAATTACAGGGCAGCTGTAAGGAGCTCGGCTCCCCTGAAGTGGTAAACGGCTCCCCTGGAAGCCTTCAACTTGCACACCCATGGGGAGCCGAAATGAAGATGGTGGTTCTCCCTATGACATTATTTATATGGACCCTTAGTGTACCGGAGATTCTTTTGAGTGGAGAGTACGGAGCGCTGAATGTTGGCATGAAGGCAGCTCTGTGCTGCACATGGCCACAGTAACGTTCTCAAAGTAGTGCCACCAAAGAATATAATTAACATGCAACTGTACATGTCCGCTCACATTCTCTGTTACTTTCTGTCTTTTATTCATGCTCCGCTGCAGGGGAGCTCAGAATTTGTGCTCCTTTGACTTCACCTCACTGGTGAACATCTCAATAGTAGACCGCACGCTCTACTATTTTTGCAGTTGTTAGATCCCTTTGATCTGCTTAGTTAAACAGTAACTGATGAGGTGAAAAAGTGGAAGACAGGCAGCTGTACTTCTGGAGGACTAGAGGAGATACGGGAAGATCAGAGACAGACAGGACAGGAAACTAGTCAAATAACAAACCAAAAAACAAAACAAAATGCTTGAAAAAGGAAAATGTAGGTAGATTCATCCCATTAAAACATCTTAACTTTATGACGCAATATATTATTGTCATGTTATATTTATATACTTACGCAATTCAGATCACATTCAAAACTCTGTCCCACACCAAGGGCGGTTTCAAGGCATGTGGGGGCCCAAGGCAAACTAGACTTGGAACCTGCTGCCACCATCTCATGGGGCTCCCCTGGAAGCCTCTGTGTGATTTGGACCCTGTTAGTAAAGCTTATTTTTAAAGCATGTCAAAAACTACAGGACTGACCAACATTTTCATTGAAATAAACAGGAAAAACGTCAATTAATAAAATAAATACAAGTAAATCAAGTAACAATTACAAGAAAACAGAAAAACATACACCATGACATAACCCCCCACCCCCACCCCCACCCCCCCCCCACCCCCTCTAAAACTGTACCCAAGTTAAAAGGGTGTAAAAGAGTGTCTTTAGATAGGACTTGAACGACTGGACAGTGTGAATACGAAGAGGCAGATTGTTCTAGGAGCTGCAGCATCAAAGGCCTGATCCTAGGTCAGATAAATATCACCAGTAGGAGCCAACGGTGGCACTTCTGGTGCATCCAGGTCTCAGATCCAGCAAGACTTTTTAAAAAGTAGCTGTGTTTAAAAAAAATGGTGTTCTTATGAAAGTGGTTTTATAAAATGTTTTTTATAAACTGTTGAGTAATGTAAGAAATTGAAGCTGTTTCAACCCTATGAATTATGTTTATCTGTTCACAAAATTGTCCTTTTTCTTTCATAAATTTCACTAAAGTCTATTCCAAATATTCCTATTTGCTTTACATTTTACATTTTTAAATACAAAAAACTGGTAGACGTTTCATAATCACATGCCATCTTGAAATACTGTAGCTTTTTAGGGACATACAAGATATGACATAAAAGTTCTCCTTCCTCTAAAGTTATGCAGGGATGACGCCAGTTCTCTCCATCACAGTCTTGCTTGGGAAATTCTGCTCGTTGCTTGCCTTGCTGTAACTACATGTGATCACTGGATTAAAAGCTGGAAGTCACCCATAAAAGTGGTTTTTGAAGGGTACTAAACCAGCTCTGCAGCGTTGGTTATTTCAGCTCACCTGGGAGTAGTTGTGTTTCCCTGCCAGCTCCGTAACAGAAAGTGGGTGTGCCCCTTATAGACACAGGGGGAGCAGTAACTTTTAGAGTTAAGGCCTTCCAGACGCGGTTGCTTTGAATAGATCTATCACAAATTTGTAATGCTGCCAGCTCCACTTTTCCTATTTTCACAGTGGCTAATGCAAAAGAGTTTTATAAACTTTATACAATGTTGTCACTTTTACATAACATTGTTGTCATGCCAAATTAGTATAAGAGTTTATAAAATAATGTTGTTTGAATTGAAAAATAATGACTGGAATAATTTTAATATGGCAGCAAAACACTCTGGATCTTTGCTGATCTGAGACCAGCCTGTCATACCAGGGCCAACCAAAGTTCATAAAGCCATTTCTCTGTACCCGCATAGAGTAAGATATTAATTATTTATAGCTGTTTCACAGAAACTCACTTAAAACTATCTGACACATCTATTTAAGAAGCCCTCTTTTCACTTGTAGCATGGAGATTTATGAGAAAACAGGACACAGTTTTAAATCTCAGAAGTTCAAAAGCTAGAATTTAACCAACGGGGTCAAGGACTGATTTTAAATAACCTTTGGAAAAGGTAAAATGGTGTCTGTAAACGACAGCAAACATATCTGGTGTTTGGGTGTGTGATATATGATGTACACAAGCTGGACCAACTTCACCGTGGCATTATCACTCCATTGTTCCCTTTCCTGTTAAGAAAACTGTGGATGGTGTTGTAAAAGTGTGAGGTTTGTCCTGCCTGCATAAAAACACAGAAATAAATCAAAATGAAACCAGCTGAAAATAACAACCCAATAAATCACCAACAATTGGAATTACTATCTGCCTAATCTGCACTGCAGCTCAGGCAGAAAGGACCACGTCTCAGAGAAACTCCTCCACAGACTTCCACACACATTTCTCATGTAGAAAAATAATAGTTTCAGTAAAGTATTCCATCTGTACATTTGTAAACAGGTAGAAACCATTTTTAGAGCTTCATATTCCACTTTGTTCTTTTTCCATCAACGTTTGAAAATGTCAATAAGACCGAAGAGAAGACTCATTTATGAGAGCATGGTCTTGTAAATATCTATTACATCTGAAACTTTAAAATTGCATTTGTACAATTATTTTTACATTTCTTTAATCTTCAGACTGAAGATTTTTCGCTCTTTTGTGCTTTTTATAGATTTTTCTTTCGCTTAGCTGTTTGATTTACAAACTACAGCATTAAATAACGTTCATCTTTGACTCATCATTGTCTCATTTTTGTTCCCTTTTAGGTACATTGCTGTGTGATGGACGGATGACGCACCTCCTCTTCCCTCTGCTTCTCCTTTTGCGAGTTCCCCTGTTGTTCAGCTTTGGCGAGCGCACCTGCCCCAACAGCTGCCGCTGTGAGGGGAAAACTGTACATTGTGACTCGTCTGGATTTTTAGATGTCCCAGAAAACATCTCAGTAGGCTGCCAGGGCCTCTCCCTGCGCTACAATGAGCTGCACACCCTTCTACCTTATCAGTTTGCTCATCTCAGCCAGCTCCTGTGGATATACTTGGACCATAATCAGATCTCAGCCGTGGACAGCCGAGCATTTCAGGGGGTCCGCAGGTTAAAAGAGCTAATACTTAGCTCCAACAGGATCACGTCCCTGCATAATTCAACATTTCATGGCATTCCTAACCTTCGCAGTCTGGACTTGTCATACAACAAACTGGAAATCCTGCAACCAGGTCAATTTCATGGTTTACGAAAACTCCAAAACCTACACCTACGCTCCAACGGTCTTTCCAACATTCCAATTCGAGCATTTTTAGAGTGCAGAAGTTTGGAGTTTCTAGATTTGGGCTACAATAGGATCAAAGCTCTAACCCGCACCACCTTCCTGGGTTTACAGAGGCTGATGGAATTGCATTTGGAACACAACCAGTTCTCGCGGATCAACTTTTTTCTCTTTCCACGCTTAGCAAATCTGAGATCGCTCTATCTGCAATGGAATCGCATTCGAGTTGTCAACCAGGGCCTTCCATGGACTTGGTACACGCTGCAAAAACTGGATCTGTCTGGAAATGAAATCCAAACACTGGACCCGGCTGTGTTCCACTGCCTGCCCAACCTCCAAGCTTTAAATCTGGAATCCAACAAGTTGTCTAACGTGTCCCAGGAGGCTGTGTCAGCATGGATCTCACTGACCACCATCAGCCTAGCTGGCAACATGTGGGATTGTGGAATGGGCATTTGTCCCCTTGTGGCTTGGTTGAGAAATTTCCGGGGAACAAAGGACACCACAATGATATGCAGCAGCCCAAAGCAGCTCCAGGGAGAAAAGATCATGGACGTCACTCGAAACCACGGTATTTGTGAGGAAAACGATTACTTTTTGACAGAAACACCATCACCAACGTCGGAGCTGATTTCAGAAGCCACTGCTGAACCAACCTTTGGCCCCACTAGTGGTTCTCCAACCTCCCCACCAGCTATTACCTTCGGTCCCCTCCCCCCATTCAGACTTCGACCTATCCCACATCCTACCTTCCCTGGCCACATGAGCAAAGACCCTAAAAACACGGTGATCCGTCCTCAACCCACTCACGTTTCACCCCCGGTGATGGAGCAAATGACTCTGCACAAAGTTGTGGTGGGCAGCGTGGCACTTTTCTTCACCATGTCACTGATTTTGACAATTATTTATGTGCTGTGGCGCCGTTATCCAGGTGCAACCAGGTTGCTGCAGCAGCGATCGATGGTGGGACGCCGGCGTCGCAAAAAGAGCCCAGAGCCAGAGCAAAACCTCAGCTCCCAGCTTCAAGAGTATTACATGAGCTACAACCCTGCTGCCACACCAGAGGCACTGGAGGTGCTAGGCAATGGCACCAGCTCCTGCACTTGCACAATTTCTGGCTCCAGGGAGTGTGAGGTATGACCCATCGCTTCAGCCCTAAAAATAAAAACGCTAAATCAAAACACAAGGCTCGAGAGAGAGGTAAATACTTTATCAAGTATACCCTGTAAACAGACACCTTAGAAATTACTCTTTAGCACCCTCAGTTCCTCATCATCACCTTGACCTCAAACATTAGATGTCTCCAATTATTCCACTTAAAGCTGTTTAATTCTGCTGCCAAGTGGGAGCTAAAGCTTACATGATGCAGAAAAGGAAAATTAAACACAACATATCTCAAGGGGAACAGATGATTTTAACACAATACAGATGTGTTGCTTTTTTCCTACACTTTTTTGAAACTTACAAAATGTTATTTGACTTTATAGTACCTTGAATAATTGGACATGTCTAATTTTTTTGTCCCCACTCAACTCAAGCATGTCTTTTGTGATATATTATTTTGTATTTTCCGTATATCTTGTCTGCAGAAGATGGTGCTTTAATACATGCTTCAATTTCTGGGCAAAAATGTTTTTTTTAATAATTTAAATTTACCAGGCTTAAAAAGTGTTGTTGCTTGGAAAGCCGCTGGGGCAAAAGTGAAAAGAATTAACTTGCTCATCACAAGTTTACCATACATTATGGATGTCTAAGGTTTGTGGTCTGTGTGGTTTTGTGCATTCCTGCACTTTAACTGCTTTTCTGTGTTAAACCAAAGCTGACTGGCACAGCGCAGGCCTCTGCACTTGTGTGATTTATGGTAAAATATGTGCAGGGAGAAATCAGAACTTCCCAAAAATGTTTAAAGGCAATAAAAAAGGGAAGCAAAGACCAGACAGGTTGTCTTTCTCTATTTTAGCTGCAACATCAGATTTAAAGGATGCTGAAATTTACAGATGTGACAAAATTAAGTATAAATATCTAAATAAAAACAGATAAACACGTTCACTGCATAATGCGTAAACCCAGTATCTCACCGAGCTTTGACTGATGAAAACAAGTTGGAGACACAAAACTTTAGAATTCTAGTTGGAATCAGGCTGATTTGGTATTTTTCAAGGACAAAAAATAAATTGCATCATTTGCACAGCGTTTTTTTGCACTTAAAAGGTGTGGGAAACTCAACTAATCAATGCACCTGCAGTGGTCTGTGGTGGGAATGAATGATTTGTAAGTAGTCCTCGGGTAATTAAAATCTCAGATGCGTTTGTTTCAGGAAGTACAAGTCAGCCAGAGGAGAAAGTAGCTTCAGACGATTCTTATTCACTGAGATTTGGACATCTCACCTAACAGCAACATGACTACCACTGCCTTGCAGCTTGGATGTTTTATCTCCACAAATACCACAAGCCTGGAGGAGTTTTTCTGTGTGGTGGTGTTGCTAATGATAATGGTTAGCTTCTACTGTTAAGAACATTATCTGCTGATTTTCAGATGCAGATTCAAATTTTTCTAATGCTTGTTGATAACCTATTATGTCTGATTTGTTATATGCTTATCTATTTATTTGTTGTATTTCATTATTATTTTAATGTTATATATATTATTTTTAATATATATATATATATTATTGGCACTTCCTTCCAAGACCTCTAAACCAGGTCATGTTTGTAAATGAGAACACGTTCTCAAACATTTTACCTGGTAAAATAAAGGTTGAAATTCCTCGACACTAAACCAGCAACAGCCTTCCCCGTCACAAATCAAGGTGGATGAGTCCATGAATGTTCAGTGACAGTGTGACAGATCTGTCAGGCTTTTCTACTCCTAGAGTTTCACCGTCTATTTTCTATCAGAAGCTAATGCAGGAAAAATGTGTAGGAGACTATTTTCATGTTCAGCCTGCATGAAAAACTCAAGAGTGACCTTGTGTAATCATTAAAAAAGTTTTTTTTTTCATCTTTAAAAACCATGTTTCACCAGTTGCTTAGCTTCTTCAACCCATAAAGTTCCCTCAGTTACCATTTTACAGAAGCTAAACTGAAAAGGGTTTCAAGTACCTGAGACGATTATTTTAAGAGAAAACTTTAGCAATTTGTTAAAAACAGAACTAAACAAACTGAATATTTTGGAAAGGCCGTTAAGGAGCTCGTTTGCAATTAGGGAACTCACGACGTTACTGGCTTATTCTGCATCACCCCCCCAAAAAAACTCTTGTTTTAAGTCATGTCATCAGGGTGAGGGTTAGGCAGACGTTTGTGGTTGGAAAATGTGTTTGACGATGTGCACTTTAAAGAAGTCTCCTTGCTTACTATGTAACATACCGTGTTTCCTAAAGTGCAAACCCATGTCCACACCTTCACACAACCCTGTAGGAAAGTGCTGTCCCTTCAGGTTGTATGTGGAAGCCCACAGTGAGTGTTTCTTTCTGTAATACACTCAGCAGTAGTGATTTCAGCTTTTGTAGTTTTCGCTGTTCCTTATGTTTGCTTAATGTTTGCAAAAGATCCAAACACTAATGGAATGCTGCAAGGTGACATGTTTGTACAAAGGTGGTGTGGGAGACTGTAATGCATCTGCGCGTCAGTCAAAGGAATGGTTTGGTGCACTGCACACCACCTGGACTTAGGAATGTACAAGATATTATTCCTGAACATTGCTCTTTGAGTTTTCGCTTCACAACATTAGATTTCTCCTTGTGTGTTAGCAGTTTAGCCACTATTGTCTAAACCAGGTGTGGGTACGGAAGTGAGTAGTAAACTAGTGTTACTTAGACGGTAAAATCTAGGATTTATTTTTGATAGAAGCAGTTTGATGCAATGCTGTTGTGATTAAAATAGCTTTGGGATGTATCATGTTGCTCTATCAGGGCTTCTCAATTCTTGTGAAGACATGCCAGGTGTCATCTGAGGAGCTCTCTCAGGACAAAATGAATAGTGCAGATGTGAAAGAAACCTAAACTGAAGTGAGAACTCTTTTGACGCTTGCACATCACTACACCTGTCCCTCCCTTTTGGGGGTTCATAAGGGTCTTTAATGTCCAGTTTCACCTGAGAGGCATTTTGATCACTGGATTGATGGTGAGAATTGCCGTGAAACAGTCTGGGGATCAGTTTCAAGGTGTGCTGTAGGCGTTTGAGCGTTGAATTCTCTGACCTCTTCTGCCTAGTGTTGGTTTTCCTCTTTCAATGAGGATGTGCCTTTAGCGCCTCTTGAATCATCAGTCCAGTTGCTCTATTACTGATTGTTATCTAAGATCATTAACTAGCATACTTCCTGACAATCATAACATTTTGACCTTTTTTAAGGTTTGTTCTTATCTTGTTGCCAGTAAATGTTTTCAATGTGCTGAAAATGTTAAGGAATTTAAGGAAATTCATTCATTCATCTACTGTGACCACTTCTTCCTGTAAGGAACACTGGGAGCTTGTGCCTACCTCCAGTAGTCACCAGAGAGGCTGGGGACACCCCAGACAGGTCGCTAGTCTGGCACATGAAGACACAGTACGATGAGTGGAAAATGACAGCTTTAAGTCAAACTAGGTGATGGAGAAGACTCACTTTCACTGTCAAAAGATCTCAGTGGGATTTGTACAGACTGATGACCAAAGACCCTCAGCGAGTGTCTTCTAGTGGCGATGAACCTTCACTGAAGGTTAAGTGAAATGTTTGTCAGATCAGACCATTAACACATCTTTGAGGATCATCTATAGTTCAACAAATTACTTATTTCAGCAATGCTGTTATCGTTTGTAATCAACACACATCCCTCCATTACCTCCAGCTGTCATCGTGTGAGAGGCAGGGGACAACCCGGACATGTAACCAGTCCATCAAAGTGACACATAGAACCCAACAACCGGTCACACATTCATACATCGTTACAATTTAAAGTCTCCAATCAACCTGACGTGCATGGTTTTGGTCTGAAGCCAGAGTACCTGGTGAGGACCTACACATGCATAAGGGGAGGAGGCTGACTTGGTGCTGAAGGGCTGCTCAGGTGGGATTTGAACCTGTAACCTCTCTGCTGCACAGCAACAGTGCTACTAACTGAGCTACCATGCAGCCCTATTAATGTGTGTTTTTGCAAACATTTAAATAACAGTGCAGTCACTGTCCATTGCCCTTCAGACAGATACATTCTACTGTATAGAAAACAAAAAGGGTTATAATCACTCTGAAAGGCTGGTGTCACTGCCCATTTAAAGCATTTGCAAAACAGCTTCTTGAGTCATATATTAATGTTTGACAACCCTAAGTGAACATCCTACTAGGACCAGGTGATCTGATGATATAAGATCTTTAAGGGTTATCTTGTGAAGATGATCTAGCAAAGCAGGGAGATCACAGAACCGTCTATTTACACCATCATCCGTCTGTGCCATTATTTCTGAATGTGTCTACGGACACACAACATAATTTTTTTTTCTCTCTCAGCGGAGTCACACCATTTGCTTGGCTGCTTCTTTCGGACATAACTGTCGGCAAAACAGATACACCAATGAAACAATCAGAGCAAGTTTTAGGCAATGTGTTGGTTTGTTTAGTTGGGGTGCTCGGTAGAGCTGAGAAAAATAATGTAATAATCAATGCAATAAGATGTGTAGATAAACGATTACGAATCACTGAAGAAGCACACCATTATCAATTACAGTGCTAGCGGCTAGCTTGCTCCATCTCTAAGTGGCCATTAAGTGTATTCTCACACTTCTGCTTGATCAGGAAAACTCTGGGTGGGCGGATGGACAGACAGACAAATATTGGCAGTTGAGGATTTTTTTTAGGAATCTAAAGTCTTTTTATCCTATTTTCTGTGAAGGGGTATGTTTTAATTTGATGTATTTTACTGGTAAATTTACCATTGTTTACCATTTTACTGGCAAATCACTTCCAAAAATCTGAATTGTCAAAATGGGAAAAAAATGGGATAAAATCACGGTCATCCATCCATCCATTTTCGGAACCCACTTGCCCATGTGGGGTCGCGGGGTGGGGGGTGCGGGTGGGTGGGTGGGTGGGGGGGGGGGTGTCAATGGGCAATCAGGCGGGGCACACCCTGGACAGAGAGCCAGTCCATCGCAGGGCAACACAGAGACACACAGGACAAACAATTATGAACACACACACTCACTCCTAAGGACAATTTAGACAGACCA